ACACAATTTTGCCAGTCTACATATTGTTCCGTATTAAAATTCTAGGATTGCAACAACCAGACCTATTTATGTCTTAGTTGCCAGCTTCCCAGTTTCCCTGGCAAAAATATGGTTTTGCCTAGAATAGCAGTGCAACAGCCTTCCCTTTCTCCTACAGGAACTTTTTCTATAAGAAACTAAACAATATTGCAATTTTAGCTTCTCCTTACAAGCAAAACTTACACGAAGCCTACATTTGGTTTTCTGCATGGGTATTTGAACAATCAGTAGGAAGATTTGGCCATCACTCAATATCTTTACCTTTTTTCCCCCTCTGGTATTTTTTGTAATTGGCTAACAGTTCTTATAGTTTCACTAAATTAAATGAGCCAAATTTTATAATGTAAACACTCAGCATTTTTAACAACTTTCATCTTAATCATTGGCCTAGCATCATCCTCTTTATTACAGATTAGATCAAGATTCTGATGCTTAAAGAGTAGATCAAATGAAATTAATTTAATCATAGCTGATTTCAGTGGGTTCACTTCAAGCCTGACTAAATCTTAATCCAGCTCAATGTTTCTTTACAATTTCATATTAACAGTTATCTTGGTGTATTTCACAACTTTCAAATTGGTTAATACATTGCCCATGTATCTGTGAAGTTTCCAAAAAGCATTTGTATTTATGGTTAATATTTTTAAATTATGAATGCTTTAATCTTTTGCATTTATTTGTGCCTTTGATTCAGCTAATACACTAAGGTTTTGCGACCATTTATCATCATCTTTGCCTTGTAGCTTATGTTTTATGGCCCATTAAATCTTCTCTCGTTTCCTATAAATGAAAAAAAGGAAACTAAAAGTGGTAACATGAGGATTTGCATATAAAAATGACATGGCATTGAAAACCCTTGTATACACATGGAATAATGCTAACTCATGTACTGCAAAGAGAGAGTATTTTGTCCCAAGCAATGACACTGGCTGGGAGAGAGAGAGACCATGCACTTCGATTAAAGCGGGTTGGGTCTAATGGTTAAGGCACCAGCATAAAACCAAAAGGACTGAGTTCTAGTCTTGCTTTAGGCACAAAGCCAGATGGATGACCTTGGGCCAGTCATACACTCTTGGCCCTAAGAAGACGACAAAGGCAAACCACTTCTGAAGAAAAACATTGTTAGAAAACTGCAGCAATTAATCCAGACATTTATCAGGAATCATGACTAACCTGAAGCCCACTACCACCACTGCAGTGCAAGCTCCACACCTTTCTGAATATGCATCATGGCACATAACTCCGAAAGGGACAGAGCTTGTGTTATGAGAGCACATTGTTTTGGTCATTTCACAAAAGTAGCCAGCTGCAAACATCTATGGTCCCAAAGTGTCATGTTTTACAAGGTAACATCATATAGCAACTCAGAAACTTCAAATATTTACCATGTTATTCCCTAAGTTATAAGAGGCCATTTGGCCAGGTAATAATCGTAATCTTTCAAGCTTTGTTTCTCTTCGTCTTAAAGGAAATGTACACATGAATTCAAAATGTCCAAAGAGAAACCATCCATCTGGAAAATAAATATTAATTTTCAATAGCTGATTATTTGATGGAAAGTAGGTTGCAGGGAAGGTAACTTTAAAGCATTTAAACAAATTAGAAATAATGGTGAAAATTTTAAAAAAAATCAGAGGGTTACCTTTCCTATTATTGCAATCCTGCACACTGGACAATACATAATAAATATTAAAAATAAAAGCTAAGGAGATTGGTAGTGCAGTGGTTAGAATGCAGTATTCTCTTCCCACACAGCCAGGAGTTCAATCCTGACCTCCTCATGGTTGACTCAGCTTTCCATCATTCTAAGATTAGTAAAATGAAGTCTCAGATTTTTTGGGGGGGAGGGAAATATAGTGACCCTCTAAATCATTCAGAGTGCTGTAAAGCACTATGAAGCATTATATAAATCTAAGTGCTATGGCTAAGTAATAGGCTAAATTTGAAATCTTCTGCCACCTGTTTCCAAAATTTATCAAAATTATGAACTCTCTTCCTCAAAATAAAGAATTCCATCATGCGAAGTTTCTACTGTCTTTTGTACACATACAAAAGTAGCAAACCTATTTTTCATTCATCAAATCTTTGTGCTTGTGTGATGCTCAAGAATGTGTGTGAAATGGTACAGATTTGGTTGTTGTTTATCAGAGACTGAAATCAATGTTCCATCAAGAGGGTCAGGCTTTTTGAAATATGGAGAAACAATGATTTCTTTTTGACTAATTCATTATCCTCAGCCACATGAATAAATGTAAGCCAGTTATTGCAGCATATCATCACCCCATTTCCATTCCGCAATCAAACAAAATCACTACTTTCCTTTTTCTCATTCAGCCTAACTCAAATTATATTATTCTGCAAACTAAGGAGGACAAAAGGAATGACAAACTTTTCCAAAATGAAGAAATTATGACTTTTAATTCTTTACCACTCAGCCTTTAAAAACAGTTAATTCTCTCCTGCTCCAATCTCATTTCCAGTTGATGAAAAAAAAAATCTAGCATGGAAAATTAGAACGTTTTTTTTCCCAAAGGGAACAAGGAATGAGAAACACTACCAACTGAATTGTGATTCGTTAGACCTGCAGTGGTGGAACAAGTCTATTAATAGTATAGCAGCTGCATGCAAGTTACCACCACTAGAGGGAGCATTTAGATCACTGATAACCTTGGCATTGTTTTTGCCTGAAATGTATTTAAATTGTTTTTGCCTAATATTCAGAATCCCTGACTCATTTTTGTTTTGTTTTAAAGGTCAAAAACCAATTTGCATGTGAATAAACTTGGTTTCATAATAAGATTTCATATTCTTGGATCTACATTTCCAAATGTGCTGTTGCTCCATGGCTGTATTGAGATTATATTGACTTAATTCCAAGTATCATTGAGAACTTCCTACATAATGGAACTGCTGGTGGCTTCCTGAAGATCTCATGCAACATGACCCTTAATAAAGAGATCCTGATAACCTTATGTTGATTTCAACTATGCAAATTAAACCGTTCTCACTGCTGTGCTGGGGAACACCAGTCATTCACAATTAAATTCGAGCTTCACACACACAAAGCAAGTGGACTAAATGTTTTTTGGTCCTACTACTTATGCATCAATGCCTTCTTCCAGATTTTTAGCTTCTCAATCTAGTCTACCTAGATCAGGGGTGTCTAACCTTGGCAACTTTAAGACTTGTGGACTTCAACTCCCAGAGTTCCTCAGCCAGCTTTGCTGGCTGAGGAACTCTGGGAGTTGAAGTCCACAAGTCTTAAA